ATCCTCAGAAAAATAATTCTTTAAAAAAACCACAAAATCTGGGCTGGGGTTGTGGCTTAGTGGTAAAGCGCTCACCTAGCTTGTGTAGGGACCCTAGGTTTGATCCTCAGCACCAATAACTAAAAAATAAATATTTAGAATAAATAAATAAATAAAATGAATATTTAGAATAAATAAATAAACCTACAACTAAAAAAATAAATATTAAACCCATAAAACCATTTCCTATAAAGCTTTCTGCACTCTATGAATTGGATATTATAAAATGCTCTAGTTTCCATTACCATTCCAGTCCTTAGCCATCTCTGTAATAACAAAGAGGAGGCAAAACCCCCAAATTACCTCTCAGAAGAAACTATGATTACAAGCTTAAAATAAGCAAGCATGAAAGGCAGCCTCTATTTTCTGTCATAAAGGCAAAGTTCTACATCTAAGATACTTGAGTGAAACACACACACACCCCAGGCACCAGAGCCTGGTCTGACTGCTGGCAGGCTGCAGAGTGCAGGAAAACATACCAGACACCACCCAGCCTCCTAGACAAACCCAACGAAAAACGCATGTCAGGTAAAAAGCGGTTCAAAACAGCACTAATGATGAGAAATGTCTAAGTGTGAATACCTATTTGGTCACAATTCTACAAGTATACTATGGAGAAAATAATTTTCTGCAGACTAAGAATTACAGACAGACTTTCCTTTTTCAAATGAGAAGCTGTAACTTTCTGACTCTCTAATTTTTTTTAAAGAATTTAACTTTGAATTGTTTTTATGTGGTGCTGAGAATCAAACCCAGTGCCTCACCAGTGCTAGGCAAGTGCTGTACCTCTGAGCCACAACCCCAGCCCCTGACTCTCCAACTTTTCACAAGTAAAATAAGCTGCTAAACTCCACAACTTTCATTTCTATATTTTGAAGAAGGCTGAATTTTACAAAAGCTCACAGCTAGCCAGGGTAGCTTAAAAATTTTATACACACACACGTATATATACATACATATGTATGTATCTGGCTTCATATAAAAATGCTTCTATATCCAACACAAATGTTGGAAACTTTTTCCAAAAAAAAATAGGGGAATAAAATAGAAAAAGCAATCTCCCATTAATGAAATATATTATGCTACTTTATGGTGGTTGGTGATTTTCCATTTAAATAATTCTGATTTGTTTTCTCTATTAATGCAAGCCTACCCTTTCATTATAATCAACTATTGGATGCACATATTTGACTAACCATACAAATGTCAAAATTAACTCATACAAACTACCCCTAAAAAAGCCCTGCTAGCAAGGGTGCTGGGTCTGTACTCATCTACTGTCCTTGTGTAGGAGCTGGGGTATAGCTTAGCGATAGAATGTGTACTTATAATGTCCAGGGCCCCGAGTTTAATCTCTAGCACCAAAACAAACAACAACAAAAAAATAAACTCTCCTTATGTGGCCCAGATGGACGCTAATAAGACCAATGAGGCCTTATAGAATAAACTTGGATTAATTTTAAAAATCTTTCCTTAGATTTTTGTAAGTGAAAAAGAAACTAAAGACAGGCTGAATTGCCAGAAATACCTCAGGGAGTTTTAAAAACACAGGACTGAGGCAGCATTTCCATTTTAGACAGTCTCATTCCTGACTTGACTTTAAAAAATGCAAGTCATTATGGAGCCAAGATTTGGATGACTGGATGTTCTTTGCTGAACGGAAGAAAAGTACACAATTCAAATATGCCCCCCACACCTGCAATAATTTTAGCAAAGTTTAATTCTAAGATGTTTGAAAAAAAGAACTACTGATGATCTTTCTAGAAGTAAAGAGCAAAAACTTGCAATTTTTTTCATAAAAATAAATCATGACCCAAGGTTAAAAAAAAATCACTGATTTTAAAACATAAAGAGTACAACAAAAATAAGATAAAGAGCTATGGTCAAACTACTCAAAATATAATAATTTAAAAAACTAAGATTTAGGGCTGGGGATGTGGCTCAAGCGGTAACACGCTTACCTGGCATGCATGGGGTGCTGGGTTTGATCCTCAGCACCACATAAAAATAAAATAAAGATGATGTGTCCACCAAAAACTGAAAAATAAAAAAAATAAAAATTAAAAAAAACCCACTAAGATTTATTTGAAAAATGACCAGAAAGACATGGGCCAAAATGCAGTCTGTGGTTCTATTGGGGTAGAAGAATTCGGATGATTTTTATCTCATGTGTATGAGAGAAACATGGTTTTTGTCAAGAGTGGATGAGTTTTCTTTTCTTTGTGATGCTGGACATGAAACCCAGGGCTTCATGCATGCTAGGCAAGTGCTCTGACACTGAGTGCTTGATTTTTTTAACACATGATTTACATACAGGAATACATTACCCCAAACATGACAACATTAATGCTTTAAACATGCTCAAACAGCTTATTTGCTTTGAACATTCTATAGGGATATAAGAAAACTATTCTTTCATACCCTCAGAACCTCTGGACCAAAAGAAGGCTGCAGAGAAGCATCTCTGAATAAGAACAGCCTCTGAAAGAAACAAACTATCAAAAAGAATCAAGCTTGTGAGGCACAGAGGGCAGGTAGCCTGGGTTCTCTATGGCCAGCAACCCACTGCTTTTTGAAATTTCAAGAAACTTGCTGGCAAACATTTTCAGACAATCTCCAGTCTCTGGGTGCTAACCTTAAAACTGACTTGGATATCATCCCTGGGATCCCAGATGCAGATGGATGGTGCCACACCCATTCATGAGCTTGTCTCATATGCTCTCCATCTACTACAAAGTGGTTTTTTAAAGAATCAACAAAAAGGGGCTGGGGTGGTGTCTCAGTGGTGGAGCGCTTGCCTAGCTCTGGGGTCGATTCTCAGCACTGTATACAGATAAATAAAATAAAGTTCATTAACAACTAACGAAATATATTTTTTAAAAAAATCAACAAGTAGGCCAAGCAGGCATGGCGGCCCATGCCTGTAATCGAAGTTGCTCTGGAGACTGAGGCAGGAAGACTACAAACTCAAGATCAACCTCAGCAACTTAGCCAGGCCCTAAACAACTTGATGAGACTCTTGTCTCAAAATAAAAAGGGCTGAGGATGTGGCTCAGAAGTTAAATGCTCCTGGGTTCAATCCCTGATACCAAAAAAAAAAAAAAAATCCCCCCAAAAAAGAAACCCCATAGACAATTTCCAAACTCTAGGTGGGTGTGCTTTTTGAGAAGACTGCAGGAATATGCAAACTTTTTGCCTCCTCTCCCAATCTCTTTCTTTTAACCTGTAAAATCAGACTTAAATATTACAGGCTTATCATTAGAATCATGTAAGCACTGCACAAATTGTAGGCATAATTAGTGAAGCGATGGACTGGAAACTGATATGATGAGTCCAGGCTAAGGACAAGAATTAGGTGCTGACCTTGGGCCAGTCATGTAACTGGAGATTCGGTTTTCTCACGCGTAAATGGAGAGATATACCCATTCAGCACCCAGTGAGCATCCGCCCTCCAGCAGAGATGCTCTGCAGGCACTCTGCTGGTACTGTCATCCTGTGAGCCTCGGCCTCTGGGTCCTGCAGGGGAGGCCTCTCTTGCCTAGGCTACCTCTGACCCACCACGACCTCCTTCCTCAACCACAATCCAGCTGCCACGGCTCCCAGGTTTGCTCCTGGGTCTGCTCCCTCCCGAAGCCGCCTAGGCCTGGTCGCGAATCGAAACTGAAAAGCTCATGTGACGTTGGAGGCAGGGATGCGGCCTCCGCTCGCACTCGGCCCAGGGAGACGCTGTCTCCACCCAACTCGGCCATCTTGAGAGGCCCGAGCACACAAAGCGACCCCATTGTTTGGATGATGGCAAGACAGAGGCACCCTGATCCCTTCCCTTAACCAGGATGCGGGCACCCCGCGGGGCTCCAGCCCGGGCAAGGAGTGAAGCAGCGCCGGCCTCTGCGGGGCGTCTGGGGCGTGGGGGGCTCGTGCCTCGGGGGAGGGGGGCGTCTGGGGCATGGGGGACTCCTCCCATCCCCAGTGGTGTCCGGAATATGGGAGGCTCCTCCCTCCCGGGGGCATCTGGGGCGTGGAGGGCTCCTCCATCCCCTGTGGTGTCCGGAAGGTGGGGGGCTCCTCCCATCCCGCCGGGCATCTGGGGAATGGGGGGCTCGTCCCTCCCGGGGGCGTTTGGAGCTCCTCACATCCCCAGAGGTGTCTGGAATGTGGGGGGCTCCCATCCCAAGGGGCATCTGAGGAGTGGGGGGCTCGTCCCTCCAGGGRGTAGTCTGGAGCGTGGGGGACTCCTCCCATCCCCAGTGGTGTCCGGAATGTGGGGGGTTCGTCCCATCCTGAGTGGTGTCAGCGGGCGTGGGGGCTTGTCCCTCCCGCGGGCCGCCCCTGCCCTACGCTGGGCCCTGGCGCCGGGCCCCGCACCTTTGAGGGTGGAGCGCTCCACCAAGACCGTGTGGACCTGCGGGTCCGACAAGAACTTGCGCATCTGCTCCAGGGCACTCTTCTCCTCCAGCGCCGCCTCGAGCGCGGCGGGCGCCTCGCCGCCATCCTCCAGCAGCAGCGGCACCAGCTTGCGCAGGTGCTTCTGCAGCACCGAAACGTCGGCCACGTTCTGCACGGCCGACACCTCCAGGCCGGCCGAGCCGTCCTCGCCACCGCCGCCCCCGGGCTCCGACATGGCGCCGCGCTCGGACCCGCAAGCAGCACTGAGAAGGTGTCCGCGACCCGGCGAGAGACAGGAGCGAACGAGAGAGAGAGAGAGAAACGGGCGCCGGAAGTCGCACCGTCCGCTAGCCCACGGCCGACTGGGGTGAGCGGCGCCGGCTCCGCCCTTTAGGCAGCCGCCGCCCGCCGGCCCCGCCCCACCCGCCGGCCGCAGCCGCCGCAGCCACCGGCGCCCGCTCGCGGCTGGCGTCACGACGCCGCGCATGCGCTGGGTGCCTGGCGTCGCCGCCGCGCGGCCTTCTGGAACTTGTAGTCCCGGCGCTGGGCGGGGCCCGAGTCTCCTCACTGTCAGCCCTGCTGATGCGGACCTGGCTTGGCCTCCGGGGTGAAAGCGGCGTGCTACCGAACCGCGTCTGCCTTGTTCACTGCGGTGGACCGTGGACGCAGCGAATCGCACACATCCCGAGAACGCCACAAATAGCTAACGAATGATGTGTGGATGAGAACCCAGATTTAACAGGCGCTCAGCTTGTGCCGGGCTTTGTTCTAAGCTCCTAGCGAGTGAAGAAATGAGTGCACATTAAGTGCCGCAATGTAGGCCTGGTCCAGGTCGCCCTACATATGCTTACGTACCTTATGTATACGGAGGTACATGAGAGTTTTTTCAGAGGGGGAGGGATGGGGGGCCGTGCCGGTGGTCGCACTGCTTGGTAGAAGGGGACATTCCAGTGGAGTAACGGGCCTCTACCAGGACGGAGAGGCCTGAAGGCTGTGGCTGGGGCATTTACTGCAGGGCAGTGTGAAATTAAGCCAGGAATGACACGTGGATACAGACTCTGAAGGGACCTGGGTCCCAAAGACCAAATCAGGCCTCCCCCCAGGCAAGGATGCTGCGAGGACCGAGAGGGGTGCCGCCTATATGAGGATATGTGCTTATAGTAGTGATTGCCCCCCCCCCCCAGCAGCCCTGAACTGGCACTGCCCTTCCGTGGGCTTCAGCATTTGGGACAGTAGAAGCAAGGGCTGGGATGCTTGCTGGCTAAGGTTCCCCTTGTTCTGTCCCACCCCAACCTCCCCTACACCAAGACCACGTAAGGGCCAGAATCCAGGCGCCCCTCATTTGTGGTTTAGAGATGGCAGTTCCTTCTAAGGAGGTAGTAATTGGCCTTAGAAAGTTCAAACCCATAACTTGCTTTTTCAGTTGAACAGAGGGAAGGAAGCCAAAGGCATTTTTTATATCAAAGTACAGAGTCAGAGAGCTGAATCCTGATTGGTGAACTGATGATGGTATGATTCTATTGTCCCAAATCATCTTTGGAAAACTGCATAACCTACAATATGCTTATTCCTTGCACAATTATCTGGTGCCAGGCCCCAGAGACTGCTGGAACACAGAGGCTAATCAGATGGTTCTTATCTTTAAGGAGTTTATGAAATAAATAACAGATTGGTTTCCCATCGTCCTGCCCTTCATCAACCCACCCTTGTATGATATGCCCACACAGTTCTAAATATCTTTTAGGAGGAAAAAATAGAACAACAGCAACAAGTTTGTGTTATGGTCATAATAGTAATGAATGACAACAACACACGACCAATAGCTGATACTGAGTGCTCATTCCATGCTAGGCACTGTGCTAAGAGTTTCCTTCTATATGTCCTTTAGGGCTAGGAACTGGAATGAAGAGGCAGGTCACCATCTGAGACACAGAAATCCGCAGAGACCTGGAAGATAAAGAGACTGCATATTGGCTGCACCGTGAGTCAGCACCAGCATGGGAGACACTCAGGCAGCCAAGGGACTCAAACATCTGCAACCTGGCTCCGAGCCAAGGAGACAGATAACGGGCTCCAAATTCCCAGTCCTGCACGATGGGCTCAAAACTAAAATCATTTATTATTTCTAAGAGGATGAAAATCAGAAAAAACTGAGTAATCCATCTACAAGGATTTATAAATGAACCGAATGTCCTTGCTATGTTTGTTGTATTTAATATGTAAAAAGAAGAAGGTCAGTTGTGATTAGGGGCTTTCTACACAGAGTGCTGACATTCCATGTGCATTATGCCAGAGGCTGGCCAGACTGCACCGGTGCTGAGGGTGAGAGGAAGCTCTCATGGGGCCCTTTCTGCCTCCTGCCATAGGCCTGATCACACCCTGAGCTGATCCAAGGTGGGGGATCTACCCACCTGCTTCTCCCATGCATTTCTGTGTTTTAATATCTCTGCTTTCGCCTGTCAATGGTAGAACCTACTCTCAGTTGTCAGGAAGTGCTGGAGAGAGGTCTTTCTAAGTCAGTGTAGGATGACAGTAGCTGCTTGTATTTATCAGAAATTGGTGATGTGTGGTCTGCACAGATGAAAGCATACCCACATCCTACCTCTCTTTAAAATATTATGTGGGTACCACGCATGGTGGCACAGGCCTGTAATCCCTGACTTGGGAGGCTGAGGGAGGATTGCAAGATCACTCAGCAATTTAATGAAGCCCTAAGCAGCTAAGCAAGACCCTGTCTCAAAATAAAATTTAAAAAGGACTGGAGATGTGGCTCAGTGGTAAAGTACCCCTGCATTCAATCCCTAGTACCAATAATAATAATAATAATAACAACAACAACAATGGCTTCTCAAGTTCTGGCTGGTGGCAGCCTCATCCCCATTCTTGCCTCACCTAACCTGTGGACAGCCCAGAACCCTTTGGTGGAACTCCCCTGAACCACATCTTCAGGCTCCTTGATGGAAATCCCCTCCTCTCCCTCATAATTCCACATTGAACCCTCATTCATTCCATGGGCTAATTCAACCCCAGTTCTGGGAGCAGAGAGAGGTCCTCTAAGCTCAGAATTATCAGCACCAGCTGGGTGTGGCCCAGAGTGGGCACTGGTTACTGGGTGTGAAACCAGCATCTTACCCCAGGACCCCAGGAATGAGTGCTGGTGGTGGAAGCAACAGAGTACTTATGGGTTTGACATTCCTTGCCACTTCAAGGCAGGCCACAGCCTTTGACCAGGGCACAGCTAGAGGACTAAGCTAGAGCTCCACAGGGTTACAGAACGCTTCTGATGAAGCTTCTTTCCAGGAACCACCCCCTTTTCTATCTGGGCTATTTGTCAAGTAAGCCTTGGGGTAACCCGCAGGGTATGGGGTGAGGAGAGGGTGCTCACCTGCAGGATCAGAACGGGTCGCTGGCGCCCTCTGGTGGTGCACAGGAGGATTGGAGGGCCCTCTTGCTTGGGAGGAGGCCTGGCTTCCCAACCTGCTGCCCATCCATGTGGGTGGAGGTTCCAGACTCACCTTCTCAAGGGTGTCTGGGTCACTTGTCCAGGATGGCAGAGTGAGTAAGGACAGTGACCAAAGGGGACTGCCAGCTTGTGTTTCTACCCACATCCCAAGTGAGAAGTTACTGCTAAAGCTTTTCTCTAACTGGGCAGGCAGCTGATGGGGTCTCCTGACTACTGGATTAAGTGTGACTCTGCTAGCCCTCTGAAGTCCCTGGTGCTACTCTGGTCCCTCCCAGGGGCATCCAGTGCTTTTTCTTATCAAAAACTGTGTCCCTAGCCAAGACCTCTGCTCCAGACTGSTCAGGACCCCATCCCCTCTCAGGATGCTCTCCCTCCCTCACAGCTCCCACCCTGCACTGACACATCCCTTCTTTAAAAGAGAAGGGAAACCCTGCCATATCCACACCATCTCTTTGTTGTCCTTTCCACAAACTCCTCAGAAATAAGTGTACACTCCTACTGCCTCTCGCTCCACCTTGGATGCGCTGTCCAGTCTTCTCCCTCCACCCAGACATTCCCAGCAAGTGCTCTGGCCCATGTCAGCCAGCCTCCACCTGGGCAGGCCCAGCGTCCGAGACTGAGAGTCCTCTTCTTGCTCGACGTGCTGTCGGCCCTGACACAGTGRGCCCTCGCTCCCTCTCTGCATCCCTCCTTCACTTATTTCAGCAGCCGCCCTCTCCGATTCCTTCTAGTCTCTTTGCTGGAGCTCCCCCCACCCCTCAGAAGGTTGGAGTGGCCCAAGGCTTGGTCCTCATCTGCTTTGCCTTCTGCCAACCATCCTTGGCTGGGCTGTCCCCAGCGGCAGATGTCAACAAGCTGCACCCCCCTATTCCAACCTAGCAGACTGTTCTATGTGGTTAGCTGGAGTGTTCTAGAAAATGCCGGTTGGGTCATGTTGGTTGGAGGTGTGGTTCAAATCTGTGTTCTTATTGATTTTCTGTGTACTCATTCTGTCAGTTATTRAGAGAGGCGTGCTAAAGTCTGGTTGAAGCTGTGGATTTCTCTCTCCTTGTAGTGCAATCAGTTTTTGCTGTTTGGAAGCCCTGGTGGTAGGTACATACACATACGGCATGCCTGTGTCCCTTCCTGAATCTACACCTTTTTTATTTGAAATGTCTCTGTTTCTCGTAATATTGTTTGCTCTAAAATCTACTGTCTGATTTTAACACAGCCACTCTAAGTCTCTCTTGTTTGGTGTTAGTGTGGTATCGCTTCTTCCATTCTTTCCTGTTAACCTCTCTGTGACTTTTTATTTAAAGTAGGTTTCTGGGTGGCAGCATATTGTTAGTTTTTGTTTTAAAAAAATCTGATGATTTCTGCCTTTGGGGGTTGATTATGGATATGGGTGGTGTTTAAGCCTACCATCTTGCTATTTGATTTCTATTTGTCCCATCTATTCTCTGTCCAGAATTGAACTCTGATCCCTCTCACAGCCCTTCCTCCTCCAGAGCTCCCCTGGCAGGACACACTGCCCCTGTCCACCCTGATGCTCAGGCCAAAGCCCCTGTCCACCCTTGATGCCTCGCCTTCCTCCACGTGCCCATCTGGTGCACCAGCGAACTCTCGGCTCTCCCAAGTACCTCTGAAATCCTGCCTCTCCCACCTGCCCTGCTGCCTCATTAGCTCCAAACCCCACCTGCCCCCCAGGACTGCTGCCTGAGCTGCCTGCAGGCTGTTCTCCACAGCAGAGGGACTGGTCTTCATAAGGTAAGTCAAAGTCATCTCTTCTATGTCCAAATGCTCCTGTGGCTTCTCCTCTCACCTGGSGAAAACCACCCAGGAGCCTGCTCACCTCTGCGTTGTTCCTGGGTCACACCAGCCATGCCTTAGCCTAATGTTTTTCCTCTTTCTCTTTCTGGAATGTTTTTCTTCCAGGATCTTCGGTGGCTCACTCCTCCCACCTCAACCCACGCTCAGGCCTCTGCTGAAGTCCTCCTGAGGGAGAGGAGGCCTGTTTGAACACCTTCTCCAAAATAGCACCCCCACCATGCCCCCCTTGCCTGGCTCTATTTTTATCCCCAGCTCTTTTCTTTGAAGTACACATACTTGGGTTTTTAGTTCATGATCTCTGTCCCACAACTAGAACGCAGTTCCACMAGGGCAAGTTCCCTCTCCAGTGAGCTGCGCGCTCGTGGCCTGCACCAGCACTGACGATGCTGCTCTGCTTGCCGGTCGTGTGAGTGCAAGAGCTATTTGGGGCATGAGTCAATGAACAGGGTACTTCCATCCCCAAGGGGAATTACAGGGTGAGTCTAAGAGAACAGAGCCTAATAAGATACGCTCCTTGTGGGCTGTGGCGGTGGCTCAGCGGTAGAGCRCTTGCTTAGCACGCACACGAGGCCCTGTGTTAGATCCTCAGTAGCACATAAAAGTAAATAAATAAAAATAAAGGTATTGTGTCCATCTACAACTAAAAAATAAATATATATAAAAAAGATATGCTCCTTGRTGACCAAGCAAACACAGCAAAACTGGTTTGTAGAACCCCCCATGGGTTACTTCTGTGAAATTAAAGATGTGCACTAAGCACATTGACATCACGTACCCATCAGTCCCTGGTGGGATCCATCCCAGGCTCCCTAGTTTTTCTCCATCCATAGTTGGAATGGCAACCAGGATGCATTTCTTCAAGACTTTGAAAAGAAGTGACACAAATACAAAGGTCTTGAGGGATATCTGGAGATTTGGGGGATGCCTACGATGGGTTGAATTGTATTCCTCCCAAAGACCTGAGCCCTGTATCTGTGAACGTGACCTTATGTGGAAACAGGGTCCTTGCAGATGTCACTGAGTTGAGATCAGTCTGGATCAGGGTTAGCTCTACATTCAGTGACCAATATTCTTCTCAGGAGAGGGAAATATGGACCCAGATCCATGAATACACACAGGACGAGCACTGTAAGCTTGGAGAGATGCATCTGTAAGCCAAGGTACACCAAGGGTGGCCGGGACCCAGGAGAGAGGTTTGGAGCAGATTCTCCCTCTGGACTCCTGTGGGAACCAACCCTGCAGACTTCTAGGCTCCAGACCTGGAGAAGAATCCATTTCTCATGTTTCAGCCACGTGCTCTGGGGTGCTTTGCTACAGCATCCCTAGGAAACCACCAGGGCTGCATTCCAGGGGCAGCTCAGTACTTTGACCAGAGCGACAGTCGTACACCATGGGAACTGTCAAGCAGGGAACTGAAAGATCACGTGATGGGAGAGGACTCCATCTGCCAGGACATGGAGTTGTCTGGGATGTCCTGTGGCTGTGGGATAAACCACTGTGCTCCCAGACAGAGTGGCAAATCCATCTGTCCTGCATTCCTCACAAAACAGAATGGGTCGAAGGCCTGTGCGTTTGATGTGGCACGGAGACAGTGACTTTGGTAAGTCCCTCTGTGTGATGGCTGTGGCTGCTCTCAGGGCCTGCAGGCCTGTGCTTTTCTCTGGAAACTTGTTGGAGTCCAGGGGGTCTCAGGAGATGAACGGATGGTGAGGAGTCACTGAATGGCGGCGGAGAAACAACAGAGACACAAGAGGGAAGGTGTTGCATCTGATTCTTTACTTGTGAAGTTAATCATATATACTTTTCATTTTGGGAGGCTCACAGTATTTTGTGGTTACAAAACAGGAATCATTATTCAAAGAAACAAAATTTTACGCAGCTACAATTAGATAAGACGAATGTCTCTTGGCTTATGCATAAGCAAGCATTTTTACTTTCAGTTCGCATTTTGCTTTGAGCTGTTTCTGCTTAGTTAGCTTTTAATAATAGTTAGAAATGTCCCAGACTATTGGCCTATACCTTGATTATTCTTTCTTGACTTWCTGACTAGAACCGGCGCCCTGGTTATGGCAAGTGGTTAACTTGAAAAGAGAGGCTACTAATTTTAATCAAACAAGAGTAAGAGCACAAATCATTGTGTACAGGAACAAGAACAAGTTGCCCAGTACCAAGCACTAATCTGTCTTCTTAATATTAATTTTTCTTCTCTAGATTTTAATTTAATTTCTCAAAAACTTCCTTGACTGTTTTTCCTACAGGGGGTTTCTCATTAAACATTAACAATTTACATTCCACACCTGAATCATTGCATTTAGAGCAAACAGATTTATTCTTTAGAAGTACTTGCATTAATTGGGCAAGTCATGTTTTTTCCTTCATACTTAATGGTCATATGAGAAGTTACAATTATATTTATTAACAGAAGTGCAAAAACAAACCATCCCATTCCCGAAACATGCCGCGCTCCTCCAGAGGATGGACACCGTGCGCTATCCACCTCAGTAGGGCCTTGCCTTTGCCTGAACCAGGGGAGGGGCGCAGCAGACACTGAACACAGTCTGGTCCTTGACTTGAGGACCTGCAATGTTAGCCTCCTCCCCTGGATGCCTCTGGCAACTCAGCCCCCCATGAAGCGTTCCCTACATCACCAGCCTAGGGATGCCCCTCTCTGGTCAGCTTCCTGGGACTTTCTGAATGGTAACTCATGGCTTTCTCAGTCACCAATCTGTCCCATGTGTTTGCATCAGCAATAAATGTCGTGACCAGGTGGAGGTGTCTGACGTGATCTTTGCACTGTAGTCMCAGAGCCAAGTGAGTAAACTCCAACACACGCCATCAAGGAACGCAAGGGTCATCACTGCAGTAGAGGAGGCTTGATGCKACAAGCAGCAGTCTAGTCTTGGGACTGCAACCATGTTCCCATTAGATCTTCATCAAAGGTGAGCTGTGCTCTGCTCTGGTCATCTTGTTCTGAGGGCCAGGCTGGTTGAAACTGTTAGTTGTAGATAGACACAATATCTTTAATTTTATTCATTTATTTTTTACGTGGTGCTGAGGATCGAACCCAGGGCCTCACCCATGCGAGGCGAGCGCTCTACAGCTGAGCCCCAGCCCCAGCCCAAGAGGTTGTTGCCCTTTTATGGCAGAAGGAAAAGAGTGATGTGGAGAACCACCATTGGCCCTCAGGTTCATGCTTAAAAGTGCCATGTGTCACTTTGCATTGTTTTTTTTTTTTTTTTTTTAAGAGAGAGAGAGAGAGAATTTTTAGTACTTATTTTTTAGTTTTTGGTGGACACAACATCTTTGTTGGTATGTGGTGCTGAGGATCGAACCCAGGCTGCACGCATGCCAGATGAGTGCACTACCGCTTGAGCCACATCCTCAGTCCTTGTATTGGTTTTATTGGTCAAGGTAGGTCATGTTGCCAAGAATGATGTGAGTGGAGAAGGGTGTGTTCTTCCCACAGGGAGAGGAAATGAAAGGCCTCAGTGACTCCACGGTCTGTGAGGTTCTCTGTGGGACTTTTAGGTTAGGCTGTATGTTTGAAAATCACTGCAAGGTCAGAAACTTATGTGTACTAACTACTGGGTGAAAACTTTTTAAGTGTTCATTTTCCTTTTGAATCACCCTATCTAATAATGCCATTGTTATGTGCTTACCGAGAATCCATGTGTCAAAATCAACTCAAGGCAGATCAGAGTAGGCACTAGAACAGAGACKCTGCACCTAATTGAAGAAAAAATACACCAGAATCTTCATCATGTCAGCTTAGGACCTGACTTCCTTAGCAAGATCCTAAAGTGCAAGAGGTAAAATCAAGAATCAATAAATGGGGGGCTGAGG